GTAAAATAAACAAAAAAAAGAAAAAAAAGGAAATCAAAAATTAACATTAAATTAATCGTTTTTATTTATTTTTATTTATAAGATAAGTGATAACACACACACACATCAATCAAAAACTTACTTCACCTAACACGCACTTATCAATCAAATACTACTCTTGCAATTAAATTACTTTCGTTTTAACAACTATATCTCTCATCAACCTATTACATTTGAATGTTGGATTCATGAGAATCAACTCCCTCCATCTAAATTATTATTCAAAGATGTCAAAGATTACGATGACATGAAAAAAACAATTATCAGAGAATACAGCATTAAAAAAACACCAGGAAATGTTAATCTGTATTCACTTGATCCAACAAATAATAATAATGTTCTTTTGGATTTTTATTTTACTAAGGAAAAAACTGTATGAATAAGAATATTTGGTATGGTTCAAAAGGTTTGTAACAGTCTCATTTTTTATCAAAGAGGTTGAACAAGCAAATAATATCATAAAGAATTCAACTTCCACACCATTTTTATTTTTCAATTTCTGTTTTTGAAACCGATGGGGTGGAACCAACCAGCAAAGAATACCAAAAAGAATACAGATACTATGATGGTTTAATAAGATTTGTAGAATTAATTCATTAGAGAACCCTTGATAAACAACTTTACAAATTTCAAATACCAATATCCACAAATTTCAAATACAAATGACTCTTAATATCCACTTTGTTTAATTATATGTATCTTATTGTTATTTATTTACATCTATTTCTTATTTGATAGTTTATTTTTAATGTCAACTGCAGCTGTGTAGGCAAAACACATTGATGGTCCTAAAGTTGCACCAGGACCTAAATGAAACAACAGAAAAATAATTAATCAAGTTAAACTATTAGTAATCAATTTGATTATTATTCAATTAATATTCAATTATTCAATTACATACCTGGATAAGTTTTACCCATCACCGCTGAACTACAATTACCAGTTGCATAGAGACCAGCGATAACAGCACCATTTGGACGAACTACACGACCACATTCATCTGTTAAGAGACCTCCCTTTGTATCTAAATCACCTGATTTCACTGGAAGGGCATAGAATGGTGCTTGAAGTGGAGTGAGGTTTGGATTTGGAAGAGTTGGATCACCATAGTAACGATCGTATGCACTCTCACCACGATTGAAATCAGTATCCTTACCAGTTGATGCCAACCTGTTGAATCTCTCCATGGTTGCCTTGAGTGCTTCTTCGGGAACATTGATCTTACGTGCCAACTCCTCTGGTGTAGATGCCTGTTGAACAGTACCTCCTTCAACCCATGACTTTGGGAATGGCTGACCTGGGAAGAGACCGGCGAATAGATAACGCTTCTTTGTGTTCTCATCGATGATAATCCATGAATTCATAGCTGGTGCTCCGTGAGCATACATCTTATCGACAAACTCATGATATGGAATACACTCGTTCAAGTAACGTGAACCATTGGAATCAACGATAATCATAGATGGAATGGAACGATCGGCAACCAAAAAATATGGATGCTCATTTGGACGTGGAATTGAAGGGGCTCCCCAAACACGGTCCATCAATGAGACTGCTGCACCTGCGCGAATACCAGCTGTAAGTGTGTCACCAGTTGCACCATCGGCAGAGTGAGTCCATGCTTTATCGGTTGGTTTTGGTAGGTATTGCTCACGAAGTGCTTGATTGTTGGAGAATCCACCTGATGCGAAGATTACACCACCCTTTGTCTGAATCAACTCTTCCTTTCCATTGGAACGCTTTACACGAATACCAATGACAGCTCCACTCTCATCTTGAACAAGATCGACAAACGGAGTACCCAACCACATCTCACATTTTGCTTCAGCCATTGATAGACGTAGACGAGCAATGAGTGATTCACCAAGTGAGAACAACTTCTTACCGGTTAACAGCGCGGCTATTGTACGCAAACCAACACTTAACATAACTTGCTTTCCTTTCCAGGTTCTGGTAAACATGTTTACCTTTCCAAACTCTTCGGAAGTCATTGCAATTCCTTGAGTATTGATACGGGAACGCAACATTGTATCGAGTAGTGAACCGAGTTTATTTGAATCGAAAACAACTGGATCTATTGAACGACCACGTGGATGTCCACCAGGTCTCTCGGGGTAGTAATCAGAGTATCCATTGGTGTATTGGAAACGTACGTGATTGGTGTTGTCGTGAAGGAATTGAAGCATCTCTGGTCCACGAGTTAGATAGGCCATCTTACGTACATCACTAACATCATCACCAACAGTTGCATCTAGATACTTCTTGGCTTCCTCGACACTATCTTTTACACCACCCTCTTGAAGGTAAAGGTTATTTGGAATCCATAGTGCACCACCAGACATTGAACTAGTTCCACCATACTTTTCGTCCTTCTCAATTAGTAGAGTTTTCAAACCCTTCAATTGGGCTGTAATTGAAGCGGTCATTCCACCAGCTCCAGAACCAACTACAACAACATCATAGTTATGATCCCATTTTGGTTGTGTAGTGGCAGATGTTGATAATGATCTAATTGGACCATTATTATTATTCAATTGTCTAGATATTAACTGACATGAACGTCTAGATATTGATAACACTTAATAAATTGACAATATTAATATTAAACTTGTTAAAATAATTATAATAAATTAATTAATATAAATCTTACTTTTTAATTTTATATAATATACAAATAAATAAAGAATTTAAGTTAAATTTAAAGAGATATAGAATTACAAATATTAAAAATACAAATCCTAATAAAAAAAAAGAGTAAAAAGTAAATTTAAAATAAGATATATAAGATGTCTAATGATATTTTGAAAGTCAAGTAAAGTAAACAACAATAACAACAACTGTCATTTTTTATTTATACTGTTGTGTTGTGTTCTTAGTTATTGCATATCATATTGTATCATATGTTTTGTTAGTTTGTTGTGTTTGATCAAACACAAGCGTTTGTTTTATGAATTATATAACATCAGATGACAACAACTGTCATTTCTTATTTATACTGTTGTGTTGAGTTCTTAGTTATTGCATATCATATCGTATCATAGTTTGTTGTGTTTGATCAAACACAAGTGTTTGTTTTATGAATTATATAACATCAGATGACAACAACTGTCTTGAATAATTCAAATTCATTTTAAAACTACCCAACTTTCTCATACCACTCATCTAAAAATAATTACAGTTTTCAGAAAAAATTCAAATTTATTTTTTTTATTTTTTAATTTTGGACTGGTGTCGTTTGTTTTATGATCAGTTGACGAATTATTACAAAAATGGAGTGATAAAGGAAATTAAAATTAAAGATCTACAACACCACACATTGAATCTAACAAAAAAAAATAAAAAATAAAAAAAATATAATTTATTTGAATCACTTTAATAATTTCAAAGAGCCCTTCCTTGGTCGTAACTCAATCCTCGTCAGACACTTTATGAGTGGTTAAGTGATATGGTCCAGGATATGAAATCAAATGGCTTCCACGGTGTCAACATCACAGGTGATGCTTGTATTGGCAAATCCATGTGGGTGTAGATTGATCTACTTTATGTGGCAACTATCCAATAACTGTGACCTCGCCAAGTGCCGTCTGTCCATGGAATAGCGAGAACTATAGGAGACGATTGTTCATTTCAATGCCAAAGGACAAACTCCAATCTAAAGAGGAGAGAGACAAGGACAATTCCAGGCCCGAGGCAGACAAGATTCAGCAGCAAGTCAAATTCGAACTTGACAACAACATCTCACAACACCTGTTGGTTATCCAAACTCCTACTTTTACAGATGATTGGTACTCAGAGAAATTGATTCCCGATCCTTCTCAAAGTATCTGGGAAACATACTCCGATCTAACATTGGACATCTTCGGTGACGATAATTGATCTCTCACTTCTTGTCGTCAGGAACTCTCGTCGTCCGCTCTGCACCAATACCTTTCTCCAACAATAAATTTATTTTTCAACTAACAATGGATGAAATTAAGATTAATACAGATTACATATAACACTAGTACATATTAATTAATGATAATTAATAATAATCTTAGATCTTAGTGATATTTGTATAAATCAAGTTGATTTTACAAATCTATCTATCATTATCTAAGATAAGATTAACAAAAAAAATGTCTTTTTTCTTTTTCTTTTAAAATTTTTTTTTTTTTATTGTTTGTGTGTTTAAATTCTGTGAAAAAGAAAAAAGACAGTCATCTCTTTATTTTCAAAAATGTTATTATTATTCCTTAATCAAACAATCAAACAATCAATCTAACACATTTTATCACAACTTATTTCTTTATTACTCTTGCAATTACATTACTTTCGTTTTAACAACTATATGTCTCATCAGCCTATTACATTTGAATGTTGGTTTCATGCAACTCCCTCCATCTAATTATTATTCAAAGATGTCAAAGATTACTATGACATGAAAAAAACAATTATCAGAGAATACAGCATTAAAAAAACACCAGGAAATGTTAATCTGTATTCACTTGATCCAACAAATAATAATAATATTCAACCTCTAGATGTTAGAGCATATATTCACCCAACTCCTTTGGATATTTATTATACTGTGCTAACTCCCTCTCTTTCATTTAATCAAACAACTCAACAAGGTAAATATTACAATCCAACACAATACCATATTATTCATCTCTGATCAATCATCACAGAGTAGAAAACAACAACAACACAACACAAACTACCTAATATTTATCGTACTCAACCAAACATCTTTATATTTAGTTGTGATATATATAAAACAAAAGCAAACATCTCCAACCTACCTTCTCAACTCTCTTCTTCTCATACAACAGCACCTCCAGCACCAGGTATGTATCATCACAAACACATTAGCCATCGCCTATTCTAAAAGACTATTACTTATATATTCCAAACATTCAATCCCTGCAGCTTCAGATTTTGAACTCATACTGAACAGTCTAAATGACATCAAGCTTTCACTTACCCCCAAGAAGAAATCTGTTGCATTCTCTGATATGACCCAAGCCAAATGGGAGTCCATAATTGATTTTACTGGTATCGACTTCAAGGAGGAAGTTATTCGTGTCAGCCCCGACAAACTTCAACAAGAGGCAATAGAACCATTCGCTCGGAATCCCAACCTGAATGAAGTAGATCAAATGGAACCAGCTCTACAATGGCTTAAAACCAATATTCCACTTCCTGCATCACTTGAGTATAAAGATGTCCACGACAGAAAGAATCTATTTTTTCTCTCAAAACACCTCTCATTTCTTCCATTTGGACTGAAGGGTACACCAGACTTTGTAGTCGCTCCTCAAGGGATCAAACACTTTCTGACTCAGCTGTACTTATTGGTTTTGATTTCAAAGACCCTCATTGGTTTTGATTTCAAAGACCAAGTACAGCTGAGTCAGAAAGTGTTTGATCCCTTGAGGAGCGACTACAAAGTCTGGTGTACCCTTCAGTCCAAATCATCTTTTCTTTCCATTTATAGCGAACTGGATCGATATTGTATGTATGACAGAATAAGTAGTTGATCAGGTATTTGGCCTCATACTTTTTGGTTCGAAAAAAAAAATTATTTTAGAGTCAAAACAATTTATTAACCATTATTATAATTCTATAAATATAGTACAAGATGAATTTGGATTTTTTTTAGATGTCGATGGTTACAATCAGTTTGACAATGCTCCTACAAGTCTCTTTTTCAAACTGTGTCAATGACAATGACATTGACTCTTCGCACCATGTTGTTCAGAGAGTTTAACACAGCAACTGAAACAGGAAGGAATGAGAAACACAAAATTTATTTATTTTTAAATAATTTCATTGTGTGTATTTATAAAATAAATAGCACTCAACATTTGACACCAAGAATAGTCATAATCAATATTTTAAAAAAAACAGTGAAATTACCACCACTCTGACTTATTAATTATTTTATTTATAGAGATTAACATATTTGGTTGTTAATTTTGAACAGATATTACAGATGATCAACTCAAGCGATTTAAAATCTAAATCTGATATAGATTTTTTGGAACTTTTAGTTTACGAAAATCAATTTAAATTCAATAGAATAAAAAAAAATAATAAATCTTACAAGATCAACTCAATCGTTTGTTTCTCACAACAAAATGTAGGACCATTTTATGGTAAAATAAAATCTATTACATATCAAATAAACAAAGTTAAAATAGAAGTAAGTTTAATATTAATCTGATATAAAAATCGATCCACAAATTTAAATTTATATAGGTATGTGTATTCGAACCTTTACCATTGGAATTCAACACCAAAGTCATAACATCTAAAGGAAACCTCATCAATGATAGTAAATTTGAACCATTGAAATCGAAAATAGAGGAAATGAGTCAAGAAATGGTCCATTCTATGAAGAAACCAATTGATCTATAGAAATTTCAATCAATGAGAAACAAAGCTATTAAATGGGTGCCTTTGGATAAAAGTTTTTTGATAATAGATAGTTATTCTAAAAGAATCACAACATCCGAACACCTTTCCAATTTCACTGCTTCAAAAAATTCAATAACATGCTATGAAATAAAGATTTTAGATTTCTGTTATTCTCTTCAAAAGTATTTTGTTTTGAATCATATCATATTTTTTAAAGCTAGTTTCTAGTCTTTAACTTCTCTATATAAATTATAATAATATCAAGTGAATTATTTAAATATTTGATTAAATATAGAGAAGATCTTCAAAGTTATAAAAAAATATAATTTAATTAAAAATGATTTCAACCACTGAAACATTCAATCCCAACTCGTGTTTCAGATGTATTTCAACAATACTTAAAAGAAAATAATAATTTACTCTTAACATCAAAATCAGACAGTATTTTGATCAAGCAGAGGATAAAAATAAATCTATAATTAAATCATTTTTAGGATATATTTTACAATCTGAGAACAGAACCGATGAACTGGAAAAAATAATCAAGAGTCAAACTTTGCAAAGAATTTAAAAGATGATTTTTTTATTTTAATATATTAAGAATCTTTGTTGTAAGAAAGACATAAGTTTATTTTATGCACTAATGTGCGGGTGAATAATATTTGAATACTCTAGAGTCTCTATTAAAATATATAATAACTCCACACTTTACAGTCGATTCGGACCCAAATCATTTCATGCTCTACAAAGAAAACGAACTATCTTTTCTAACATTTGGGGTCCGAATCGACTGTAAAGTGTGAAGTTTCGTTGGAGTTTTTAATTATTTTATAAGACCTGAGATTCTTATAGATATAATTTTATCAAATAAATATTTACTTTCCGATTTTAATTTTAATAACTCTACAAAACCAAACGTATTATTAATTGATGTGTTTATGGATTCTTTTGCTCCTTTAGTGGCAAGTCGGTCATTGGAGTCTACATCCAAATTTCATCAGAGTCGATGAACCGAGCTGATATAAAGAAATTTATAGGTACCAAACTCATGACAATTTCTCTTGATAGACCTATAAAAAGTTATTAATGAGTAATTAGTGCATAAAAAATAAATAAATAAATAAATAAACAGAGTGTAATCATTCGAAGTGGAATAATAAATAAATCACAGCTGGGATAGAAGAATGAATAATGATAAATATATCTTACCTTTATAGGTACCGTAGGCATCAACTAACTTCGAACATTTAAATGTTAAAGAGTAAGTATCTTTAATTCAGTACAAGTGAAGTCTATCATTTGTATTGAAAATACTTCTATAATCAATTAATTTAAAATGAAACTGTTCGTTGTTGTTATATTGACTTTTTATGTTTATTGCAGGTGTTTTTTGAATGACACATTGTGCTAAACCGGTGACATCAATGTTTTCTATTATTGTTGAATTTGTTGGTTTTGATTTATTTTTTTCTTTTTATCACAAGGTTCAATTTGTGGGGTTGGTAATGATTCTAAAGGATCATCATTACTATTCATAATCATTCCATCATTATTGTTATCTTCCATTGTGATGTCATCTATAACATTATCAATAATCATAGGATCTCGAGATCCAACTTCACTATTACTATTGCTATTGTTATTGTTATTGCTATTTTTATTCATATTCAACCAACTAGGTCTTACTATAACTTCATCTTTAATTTCCTATAACTCTCTACACATCTCCGATAAATTGTATTATCGGAGATGTATAGAGAGTTAAAAATAATAATTCTATTTGATGTTGTATCTGAAAAATTTTTTAAAAAAAAAACGTTTGATTTGATTTGGAAAAAAAAAAA